TTGTCACGAGATTACGGCGGTCTTCTCGCGCGTCGCTTGCGGGGGACGCCCTAGCTGTCACTCTACTTCCATTGTTGTCTGCTTTCATAGTTGATTGGAGCAATGTTTTACGCCGGATGCCCTTCCTGCCGCAACCCTCCCCATTTACCCGGGCTTGGGACCGGCCTTGGCTGGGTTTGGTTTTCACATTACTTATTGCTAATATAAAGTGGCAGTCAAAATATGCTTTGCCACACACTCGGATATTTGCCTGGAGCAAAATCATGCAAGCTTTACGGAGCGATTTTTCGCATTAAATGATTGCTCCAACCCGTGATCGTAGACAAAGTCCGTTGATCGAGCGGCTCTCCCCTCCCTTCCCGCTTCCCGTCGGTGACAGATGAGTAACTCGTGGACTTACTCATGTAGACACTCGGTGAACTGCGATGAACAGAAGCTCCATTTACGCTGGAACTACCCTCTAGATATGGGAACATGTCTCTCACTTGGTCCAATGGACCCGATGGGTAAGACGTAGAAATGAAAAGTAAGGCAAAAGTTTGGATCACATGTCTTCACGAAAGGCCTCGGGGAGTAAACTACAAATTTACTTCGGATCCGAAAGAACCAGTTACATTCTGTATCAGGATCAAATGAACCCAAAGGTAGTTCCAGTTGAACATATAATGAGCTCCATTGCTCTATTTTGCAGGATTGTGGCGGAACTGTGATAGAATGGAACCAGTGACTCATTGAATTCACTATTCTATGAAAATTGCCCCTGTGCTCTTTCCCCTACAAATTAGTGTCATGCTCTTTTATTCGTCTTTCGTCGTCGTTCTTCTGGGCTTCTTAAGCCATGCATCAGGTGGGTATTTCTCATTCCATTCCTCCAGTAAGGCAGAAAAATGTGGTTCCAACATATCATCAAAGTATCAGCAATTTTGCCATGCCTTTAAATTGCATATTCTGCCGCTGACAGGTAGTCATTTCAACTGCATGCTGGAGCTGCGTGAGACTAATAGGTTTTCCCAATGAATTTCGGCAAAAGTCCTTTTGGAATTCGGCAGCGGTCGTTTCAATTTCGACATGACAAGTGCATCTCCTATTTTAGGTAACATGAGTTTGGAGAAGAGCACAAGGGAGGGAAAGAGCACCATGGCATAGGGTGTTTTCAGTGAATAATCCGTACTTTTATATGCGAAGGGAAACACATAGATATTGACACTGCTTCTTGCTATCAATATGTTCTCTCCTTCGCCATGTGATCAAGTTTGTTTGTGCATGGCGAAACCACGCAAAGCGCTTCTGATGAGTTATTTTCCCGACTGTTGGACATTCTGGACATGTTATGCTGCTTTTTCAAACGTACTGACCTTCAAATTAGGAATTTCTGTTATCATCGTGTTTCGCTGAACTCGTCCCTTCCTTTTTTTGCGTCGTTCAGGTCTATGCAATGTTTCGCTTTGAGCCGCAATTCACTCACCATGATATTGCCAGCAAGCAATAATTGAGGTGATTTCTGTAAACATAAACATTACGTAAAAATACGGTTCATCGAAGGAAGGAAATGGTGACTACGCATTGCCTATCACTATATACTTCCTCTTCCTCTCTTTCTCCCCCTCTCTCTTTCTCTCTCCCTCTCTCTCTCTCTCTCTCTCTCTCTCTCAAAAGAATGAATATCTGTGAAGGTAGGGTTCTCTAAGTCACTTTTTCATGCCGTGAAAGCTCTATTCATTTGGTTTATGAATTTCGTCAACCTTGATTGGCTTACCACCGTCAAATGTTGCTTTCTATCGTTCTGGACTATAAGCAGACTTCATGTCTTTCCCATCACGCCATTATGAGAGATTGACGAGGGCTCACTCTAAGCCTCACGTTACTATTTGAATATTGATATTGCCCTTATCTTCTGAGTGAAACGGGTGAAAATTCCATTGGTTCAGTATAATCTGGTTATCCTGCGATCATCTTCTTCCCACACCCACTTATCATTACATAGCTGTGGTCTGCTTTCTTTTCAATCCCGAAAACATATCCATAATTCTCTTTAAACCCGATTTCTCAAAGACGGGATCAATCACAAGCGACTTCGCTCTGGGTGAGGCTACCTGGAGTAAAATATTTCACCATCAATAAATAAACAAGGTTTCTCTTTCTTTGTGACATACTGTAAACATTGCTTACAGTTTTCCTCACAACGAACACATTTTTAGGCTTCATATAAAGTGTAGGGTTTTTGTTGGTATTGAGACGGTGGAGAAAACGCTACTTTCGTTCAAGTATGATACTGTTGATCTTCGATTACTTGCATATGTTCTAATTGTGGTTCCCTAATTATGAGCTAATATATCTGACGTTATTATCTGATTCACTAGTCACCTCACGCGTCCATTCATCAGCGAAAAAATATTGAACCATCTTATGCACTCTGCAAGGGCAATGCCCACCTGACGTGGGCAACATTACATAGAAGTGTCCTTCGAACGATTAGGAATTTTCTGAGAGAGTATTGATCAAGTAAAACTTTGAGCAAAACAGACCATAACATCGGGAAAGGTAAAATCTTAATGTCGATTATGGATCAACCAACCACCCACCCCCCGTCAACAACCCCTCCCCTTAGGGAGTGGTAGTTGACGGGGTGGGGGATGTTTTGGGGGGGGGGGGGAAAGGAACGGGAAGAAAAGATCTTTAAGGGATAAGGCCTTGGCTTCCTTCCTTTTGGTCTAAGTTATTGGCTTGAGTGCTGGTCAGATAAATCGCCTTATTTCGGAATTCAGGGTATGGAGACGAGGTGAGTCCTCCCATGATGTATGGACCAAGTATGGTAACTCTAGGATCTCCTATCACCCTCTACTGCAACGTCTCTGCATCTTCCAATGACCAGACCATCCGTTTGGAGTGGAGGTATCCAGCGAAGGAGGAAGTGAGAAAGAATTTCATGTTCGCTTATTTCAGCTATACACCCTTGAGACTGGCAAATATGGTTTCATGATTGATAACTGCAGCAGGAGGATGGAAACGAAACGGATGGAATAAAAAAAAGAATCAGAACTGTTGAATACAACAACGGGATGTCTTTCACACGCCTGATCGTGAGCAATGTCACTTCCGGTGATAATGGATCCTACTACTGTCGTGCTATAACCACCAGCAGTAAAATAGAAACTGTTCATAATGTCACCGTTCTTGGTAAGCCCTTTCATATCCATGCAACCGTATTAGGATCAGAGGTATACCAACAGTGTGTATATCTTCCAGAAAAGCAGGTGAAACTCACATCCAAGAACGCAACTGGATCTGTGAGTTTGGGAGGGAACATAACATGGGTGGTGGAGTTGGAGGTAGACGCCGAAGCCGAGCCAAAGCTCGTCTTCAAGCGCAACGAAATGGAACTCACTCCAGGCGATAAATATACAATTGAGAAGGACTGGAAGGAGAAAAAAGTAGCAAGCATTCAGATAAAAAACATCAGGGAGAACGACTACGGTCGCTACGACTTCGAAGCAATCACCGGATTGCATCGTCGGACGATCTCATTCGAGCTCAGGAAAGTCAAGAGTGAGTATCTGTTGTTTCGACTAATTCTGTGATCATTTAACGCGTGCACATGTTTTCTTAGCTGTCATACTGATTTCATTGTGGTACCCTAATCCCTTCCGCATTGGTATGATTATTTTAATTCCCAAGGTAATCTGAATGGAAGTACTAGTAGAAAAGCTTTTATGGCTGTGATGTTTACATACATACCAAAGGTTTGTTTCTCATGAACTTTGGCCCTTATCCGAGGAAGTTAGTGTACGATGATCCCGTCCCAGCTGACGTTTTTCATGCAGGTCGTTCAATCTCGTGTTCCAGATATACATTCTCATAGCGTAAACTGCGATGGACATGCGTAAAGACAAAAGCCACCAGCGGCAAAAAAACAAATTCACTGATTCATATCGGATTCTCGATGCCATAGCCATGCGATTCCCATGGTCCCTCCCATAATTTACACCGTACTCCTCTCCAAAATAGGCATGTTCAAATTAACATTGAGATAACTCTTGGCCTTGACGGATTTGAGTATCTTTCCTATCTTGACGATGTAGGCGCTTCAATAGCAGGTGCCCTTGGGGCATCTGGCATCACAGCCATATCTGCTGCAGCTATTTCGGTCGTGGCTCTCATAGCGGGCTCAATTTCCTACTACCGATTCAGAAAGGAGAAAGTGAGTCACGCATGCGGATTCGAAAATCGTCTCTAACATCAATTGGAATGCACTTCTTAATGTGAAATTTTCAGGCCCGAAACATCGCTTTGTCCAACGAGGAGACTGAGCGATTCCTGAAAGGACAGCCAGAGAGCTTGAATCCAGCAATGGGGCTCAGCGAACAAGCACATCTTCTCCCGTTTGATGAGCAATGGGACTTCCCACCAGATAAGCTGAAACTTGGTAAGGATCCAGACCCCATACTAGACGGAGTTGCGTCGGTCGATCATCATGGAAGATGTCATCCAAACAGGAAAAGTGCTCGGCAGCGGCGCATTCGGTTACGTACTCAAGGCCGTGGCTGTCGGGATCCGTCCTCCAGAGCCCGAAACAATTGTGGCCGTGAAGAAAAGGAAGCCTCACTCCAGCCTGGAAAATTACCAGGCGCTGATGATGGAGGTGAAGATCATGAGTCATCTCGGGATGCACCTGAATGTCGTGAATTTCCTCGGAGCCTGTACCAAGAATTTGGCACACGGTGAGTACCTTCATCATATTGGGTAAGGTTGGTCGGTAGCATGCAAGTTCGGCAGAACCGTTTCACATTAAAAGCCAACAGCATGAAGCCATCGATTTCACATCGATTTCTCTTCTGCTCGAATAATTATATACATGCAATCATTTTTGTGTGCCTAGGATAAATCAATATATAGTGTATCCCTAACGTGGCATGAATTTTTTTTATCCATTAGTTAGTGATATTCCTAAAAAATTATTTTCTGGGCAATACCATCCAGGACTAGGCAACACCTTCTCACCCTGTTTGAAGCTTCCAATAGCCCGAATCTTCTTAATCTCCAGGCTTGTCCCGGCCGCCTCTGTCTCATGGAACGGCTCAATCTGCCCCAGTACTATAATACATTTAATCAACATTGATTAAATACAAATTAAACGTCTGGATGGTGATTCAATACTAATTCTATATTGATTTAGTGTCATGTAATGCTGGGGTCTCCGTTTGAAAAAATTGTATGCTGTGATTTGGAATATATTCTTTAAAGAAAAAGTTGCTTCGTAAATGACTTGAATCTCTTTTCCTACTCTCACCGCGATAAAATGAAAAAAAATCAAATATAGACCAAATCCGCCTTTGACCTCGTGATTTTGCTTCATAAGAAAATTGAATTTGATTTCAGGGGATCTGGCGATGATCGTGGAATATTGCCCCTTTGGGAGTCTGGATAAGTTTCTGAGGGCAAACAAAGATGGCTTCGTCAATCAGATAGACCCTCACACAAAAATTATAAACGACAACATTAGGAAACAGCAGCTTCCTACCGAAGATTCTTCTTCTAAAGAAGCTGCAATTGAAGCTAAGAGAGAGGGAACACAAGGGTGAGCAATTTTATTCAATCTATTTATTTGGCGTCGTACCATGACGTATCCAACTAACAACCAACTTTTAGCCGCAGCAACGAATCGGTTCTGAAGTATGCCGCGGTTGCACCCCCGGTGACTGGCTCAGGTGGGACAGACAGTGTATTCCAGGCGGATACTGCTGCCGCTGACACCGGGGTTCTTGCATCTATAAAAAACCGTATGATCAAATTCCATAACTAAGTATTATTCTTTGGCTCTATTTGCTTCGTTCGCCTTCATAGCCATATCTTTCTCCCGCGGTTTTATCATATTTGTGCCACGGTATCCATACATTATACCATTACATTCTAGCCATTAAACGCTATCAATACCTAATAGGAGTGAATTTTCTTCTTAGGTAGGGTGAAGGAATCGAGAAATCCTCCGCCGGCTGAGAACGCCGTTCGGAAGTCCACAGAGGGAAGCGACCTCGCGAGACGATTCACCACCAGCAATCTCGCCTCTTGGGCCTACCAGATAGCTCAAGGCATGGAATACTTGGTTTCCCGAAAGGTGGGCCTTTCCTAAGTCTCTTTGAGTTTTCACCATCCGTTAAGAAATATGGAAACTCGCCAGCTCGATCTTGTGAATTGACCGATCTTGTGAATGAACTTTTATCAGATGATAAAAGTTTCATGCGATCACTTGATTGAACGAACAGCAATCACGGTCTTAACGCCAATCACCAAGATTCAGATTTTTGCGTGTTTTTTGGAGAGAGCGAAATTTAAATTTCAAAATGTGTTTTGGTGGAAGAGAGAAGTGACGCGGAAATTCTCATCCTGTTCCCACTAAGCCCCCCCCCCCCCGAAAGGCAAAAAAATATATATTTCGGAAATATATTTCCCATCGCGACCATCTTATTCGCAATTGATCTCGCGGAAGTTGAAAGAAATATCCATTGAAAATTAATTAATGTCCTGCGTAGTCATTATTGGAAACGCGAAAGGACAAACGGATATATTGAATTCAGGTGCCGACGAATAATTTTTATTTTTTACACTGTTACAGGTGGTCCATAGGGACTTGGCTGCAAGGAACATTCTACTTGCAGAAGAAAACATAGTGAAAATTTGTGACTTTGGTCTTGCCAGAGACATCTACCGGGACAATCAGTACGTCAAGAAAGGGGATGTGAGTTCCACTCGTGCCTTTTATAAAATGTCGTAATCATCCAAAATTAGTCAGCTTCTCACTGATGACTTGGATCTGAATATTCTAGGGTCTATTGCCGATAAAATGGATGGCATTGGAGTCCCTCACAGAGGACATGGTATCCACGAGCCAATCGGATGTTTGGGCGTATGGCATAACACTTTGGGAAATGTTCAGCCTTGGGATGATCCCATATCCTGGGATAAGCGGCCATCATCTCGTCCAGCGTCTCAAGGACGGCTATCGCATGGAGGCTCCTCAATTCGCAAATGATCATATGTAAGACAATATCTACTTATCTCGATTCAACCCCTGACCGGTATTCATCATCTGTATTTTATTCCTCCTCTTTTCTAACTTGCTTATTTTTTACTCGTCCTCGTCGTACAGCTACCAGATCATGAGGAAGTGCTGGGATGCAGATCCCAATAACCGGCCGACATTCCCCACCTTGAGCGGATGGTTCGGGGAGATGCTGCAGGAGTCTGAGCGTCTGGTGAGCGTTTTATTCCTTCCACACGCTGATTCGAAACCGGATTTGAATCATCTCTAGATCATGTTCTATTGCAGCTCTACCAGGAAATGAACAAGCCATACCAAGAAAAAAACGCCGAGTACTTCCAGACCAAGACGGACTACCTACAGATGATACCAGTTAAATCAGATGACGGATACATGCGACCCTTGAGAAGTCAGGATGCATACGGCGAAAAATATAACATCACAGTCACACATAAATATGTGAACTCGGAGATTTCTGAACCGAAGGTCTACTACCTCCCGATGACTGCAAGCAAGGTACAAGTTGACCTCCAGGAAAAATATGAATCACAAGTCAAAAATGAAATTCCAGGGGCACATGGAGTAGTCACTGAGGACCCAACTTTCCGGAACGAGCAGCACCGAGCCACTGGATCTGAGTCAAGGTTTGTTGGGAGATTGAATGCAATTGTCGAAGACCTCAGCCTTGAGCCCGAAAGAGAGCGGGGCTGCGACGAAACCGCACCGGATCATACAGCTGCCGTGTTGGAACCGGTTGCACCAGAAGTAGGCAGACCCCTACGTGTAGGAATGTTGATAAAGACAGACTCATGAGCATGTGGACCCTGGCGTTCGTCTTCTTTCCCTTTATATCAAGTAGGTTTGGTCGAAAGTGAGACTGCTCGGTCTCCGGATTGGGCAAAGGCGCCATTTCTTGGACAGGTTAAGGTAAATTTTCTTTTGGAAATTGTACTACGGTCTTCGGAGCAACTTATATAGTGGCCGACTGGCATATGCATAACATGGAGCCATCAAAATTATGAATCTCTTGCGTATATTTTATTGGATCGCAGAAAGCGCGAATTCGTCTAGAAATAGGCACCCTTCCAAGAACTGGTGTCTTTACCCCAGTTGCACATCAGTTGTTCTTGCACCAGCCGATAGAAAAATATTTCATTGCCGGTGATACTTTTTTGGAGCTTGAATATCAACTGCTGCACCACAAAACGTGCATTTCCTGGAGAATAGCTGAAATAAAAAGATAGTGGGCTTTTCTTTCCATTTCCTTGAAAGTAATTGACAATTTCATGAGAGAGAAGTGAAAGTTCATCGATGGCATATCTTATCGCTGTGTGATTTTCACTTTCATCCGAAAAAGGTTTCCCCAATGTTTTTTACTCCCGTTAAGCTGCTGACAGACTTATATTTTTTTATAAAAAATACTACAGGGGGATGAAAGGGAATACTAAGCCCCTATTCTACACCTCCACATTCTCGGTATAGTAACAGGAGATCCATGAGAATCAAAGCCCTCTAAAACACGGATGCAAGACTTTATGATCCAAACATAGTATTTGAACAGCTGCAGCCCAGGAAACGGAGAGCTTTTTGACCAGTACCATGAAACTATCGACATCAGCCAGAAAAAGAATATCAAAACATTCACCAATTCTAAGACACGACGCGACGTGTTCCTGCAGCCCTCTGTTAATAATTGCCTATCAAACCATTTCAAACCGTGAAATGCGATGCACCCATTCCATGACCGCCGCCCAGCCCCACCTCCAACAAACACGAAGACTCCGCTTTTAACCCATTGTGACGATGTGGTTTCAAGGAGAAACCACCCCCTACTCGCGTTTTTCCTCGGCTTTCGTTGGAATTCGTTCATAATTCCCTCTACCTTCGTATTACTCTACAGCCGTGTAGCAGGTAGAAAATATTCAACTCGAGTAAACAAAGCGAGGGATGTGACAGATGGTAGGAAAGTCAGACGAGAAGCCATTTAAGGCAAGGAAATTTTTTCGAGCCTGGTGCCTCTTTCAGGGTATTTTTTTATTATATGTCTGTTCTGTCTAAAGCAAAATGACATTAATTACAGCACAAAATCATATGTTCTTTGTCGGCTAATGAGGCAGAGCACCATAAGGGAGGTAGTCCAGGGTGACCACGAAGAGTCCTATGAAACGTCATGGATACAGCATAATGCGTTGCTTTATTTTATTGACAAATGGGTGTTCATGTGTGTGTGACAGGCCTATTGGCCCAACGCTTTGAATTACGAACTGGGGGTTCCACCTATATCTTCCTCCTCATCCGAGGATGTGCCTTTATGATATTGAATTTTCTGATCGGCCTCACAAAGGAGTAGGAGGCAAAGTTCACGGAAAGTCTTGGATTCACTCTTGTATCGTCGTCCTATGGATGGACGAAGAGCTGAGAGCTACCGTCATATGCGCCAAGGGAAGATGGCATCATGTAACGCAGTGCTGACCGCCTGCTGTCGTGAATCGAGACTTCAAGCCCCATGATGAAATCCCAGGCGATTCGTACGTTCATCGCCACTTGCATTCACACGGGCTCCGCTAAGAAGTCCATCAACGCAGATTCCTCGTCGGGGTACTTCCCCCAAAAATGCAAAATTTCAGATTTGCAGAATGACGTGCTTTTCCGCCGTAGCCCTCATCAACTTGAGTCCTTTGAAAGCGTTCGAGAACGACGCAAGAGATCCGGCGATCGCGAGAGTTCTTCAAAGTTTGCGATATTTCCCCGTATCGCTGTCGCTATGGTAGAAGGCAAAATAAATAAAGGTAAAACATATTGCAGACGGGAGACTAAAATAAAAAACGGGATTTCCGGATCCTGTACTGCCGTGTACTAAATGTTCCCTGTGTTCCATCACTCGTCTGAGCTGATGTTCGTTGCTAGTCGATAATATTTCTGAGACTAGGACTCTCCCACATTTATTGCCGTTTCTGTTTTTGGATATTATTGATAATAAATTCTTTTTCTTCGCTTACGTCACCATATGCCATTCCCATGATCAGGTGCCAAGGATTATTACATACCAACTGAAGCCTGTGGGCTTTATACACATGGTGCCCAAGTAACACACGAACGTTCTTGAGGAGGTTTAACCTATTTTCAAATGACTTTTGTATGTTCAATGTACACCGATGAGTTGCTTTTCGGCACCCAGTTGAGATGCCGTTTGACCACCAAAGCATGGCGTTTTTTTCGAAGGACACTCTTTGAACGTTAGAGACGATTTCTTAAGCATATCTGTGGTGTCCATCTGACAATGGCGCCAATAAAGGTTAGCCAAACCGTCGCCAGATGAAGCGGAAGGAATCGCTTTAGCGGTTCGATTCCGGATACAACTGGAATTCGTCCCAAATACCTTCCACACTGAAGCCCACCTATCTATACATTCACCAGAGTGGACGATATTTGAGTTCTTTAACAAATCTCTTTTAGGTGGTAACCCCGTCTAAGTGTCTAAGAAGTCTCTAGAAAACTCCGGCTCAAAAGGTGGCTCAATTTCCTAGTTGACTTCATATGAGAGGGGATTATAATATAGAAGATGGAAGTGAATGTAAGTGATCTTATAAAAAAGGTGACTCAGTGAAGAACGAGCCTGATACTTTTATGTGAGATAGCTGCAGAAGTTACGAAATTTCTTTATTTTGTATTACTGCCACATACTTATCCACCAAAGTAATCCCGGAAAAGGGAAGATAGTACTTCCAAGCAGACTTATCTCGGCCACATGATGGCGTTTGAACACTGTCACGGGAGCAAGGCTTTACCAGGACCGAATGCAATTTAAGTGATGAAAAGATTTTATGCAATTCATTAGTTGCTTGTTGGACGAGTCCTGAATAAGACAAATAATTGAACTCATTTTCTTCACTATATCCAAATCATGTACTTGAATCCTCGTCGTCCTGGGAACGTATAATTTTATATATCGCTCTAAATTTCGGATGTTTAAGCGGTCAATTGTTCCCAAGGTCGTTCATGGAACGTTGGCAATACCCTAAATGAAACGTTCATTGAACAAATATTAAATTTTTGGGTGCTACTTGGGTCGTAATATCCGAAGATCATGATGACTCCCTCCACGACAACTGAGCGCCTCGTTTCATCTGGGTTGCAGCAGAATTACCTGCCACTGGTTACCCAAAAGGTAACATCATTATTGAAACTATCGTCACAGTAGAAACGTTCACTCCTAATTCAGCTTTCTATGTCTCTACGTTTGGTTGGGGAAACAAATTGTTTTGGAAAACGTCCCATCCCCCCTCCCCCTTCAGGTTAAAAAATTTAAAAATGTTTCCCCAGAACATGTATCTTCGAAGTCTTTTTTTCCCCTGAATTCATCCTAATAGCTACTTATGTACCAAGTTAAAGGTGTCTACCAAATTTAGAACATGGTTAGAATTACCGTCAGTCAGAGAGCCACTCAATCAGTAAATGCATTAGATGCCCTTCTTGGATGTGTCCTTTACCGAAATCACCGATTTTTAATATCTCCTTCGGGGGTATGGTTCAATCTGGGAAAAGTCTAATTAGAGAAAAATCTGTTCAAGAATAAGCTGGTTTGATGATTCCTCTACCATAATTAGTATGCGTACCAGTCACTGTAAGAAGGAAGGATATCGGGCAACCAGCGAAATTGAGTCACAGAACCTTTATCTTACAGGACATCCCTACAGAGAATAGCAGAAATGCGTCATAATGGTCACGCGATAGTCAATATCTGCCACAGACCACCAACAGTGGACCTTTGGTCCGCCACAGATTTTGAGTTGGGCGTTTATGCATGTTTTAAGACGAATTTCATTCACAGATCGTGATGTTACAGGGGAGTAAGGAATTTTGCATTGTTCAGCTCCAGTTCATGAATCTCCCAGGTCGTCAATTATCTTTATGTCGTCAATCGTAATATGGCAATCCTGGAATGGTACTTGAACCAATTTTCATTAATGGAGACATTAATTTACGGTTGGTATTATGAATATATAATTCTCCCCGGAGGGTTTGTCACGAAAGTTACCATACCAACTTGCCTTTTCGGCTGAGGAATAGTTCAAATACGAGGATTGTCGACTCTTCATTTCGATTTCCGACAGGATGCTGTCCTCGTCCCGGAAGAGTATCCGGAGATACCGGAGACACCGAGGAAGAACGTGACCAAACGGACTTGCATTTCGGCTATCACTTGAGCAATCCGCTATGCATGATGCCCCACTCTCCGAGACCTCGGACCATTTCCCGTATCCTGTCGCGTGTGTGTCTCGAAGTCTCGCTCAGGCGCGTGCCTCGCTTCTTCGCTTTTTCACAAGTTTCGGAACATATCAAACGTGTTAGGAAACCAAGAAGTGGAAGGTGAAATGAGATTGTTTGATGGGTGTGACTTATTATCTTCCCATGCATTACTACATCAATGCCGAAAATGTGATCAATTGCGTTACATTCGTTCCACACGGTTTGCTCTATTCAATGCGATTTTTTTAACCATAAATTAGAACCGAGGAGCTCTTATGTCATAGGTTAATGTAGTCCATGAAACTTTCCTGTGTTAGGTAGCAGGAGGATTTCCACACGCGAAAATTCCTCAAATATTTCCTTTGGATTCCCTAGAAATTTAGAATCTAGAAGCCCATTCCAGGGCTCACAAATCGTGTAGGCCACTCATCGTCGACTAGAGAAACCGAATTGAGAAACTCCAATGAAACTTTATACATGACCACATATCAATTTCTAGCGAAATCTGTTTTAGTTTCAAAGGGAACTACTGAAATTAATTGCTAAAACTTGTCAATCACTTCAATGAAACAAAATCGAAGGGAGGAGGCTATGAGTGGGGGTGCGTCCTAATTCACTCAAACGAACACCCATGAGGACCATAATAATGAAGTATCTGAAATGAGTTCTTAACGGTTCCTGAAATACAAGAAAATCTATTGCTCCAAGGCACCCAATTCATAATGTTTGCAAATTAAAATACATGAACGTTTATTTCATTATTTTCGGGTATTTTCCAAGGATCATTTGCCGCCCTGAAGAAAGGTCATAATCATCGCGTCGAAGGACAGTGCCTTCAAAAGTCGGTGGAAGAAAAATTGAAGCTTGAGGCAAACCTCGTTCAGCGTTTCTCCAAATCCAAATTCCATGATCGCCGGGCCGTTCCTCTTCCTCTCTGTCTCGCTGGTGTCCGGGGCAAGGAAGCCGGCATGCCCCAGTCCCAATATATCCCCCTGTACGTGCTTTGAAAAAGCCGATGGGAGGACGACGGTAGATTGCTCGCCAGTCGAGAAGGGTCAGGACATCTTGTCGGCGTTGAAGAATGCCACTTGGCCGACCAAACAACTCGGGTGAGTGGGATACATTGCGTCCTTTCTCCATTTGCAGCGCTCGATTATAGGAGTCGTGCTAGCTTCAGTCTCATTTCCTGGAGTCCCTCATGAGACTCGAGTTTCCACTTATCAGATGAAGCGCATATCTTCCAGATCATGGGGAGAAAAGCATTTCATTTTTATTTTTAATATAGCTGCATGATACATTTCTAAGTTGCTTTCGACTGTGGTGTATCTCATATCGCTAAGGGGGACGATTTCAGAGAGATAAGCACTTTAGACCTTTTTTCGCTCTATCGAAGCCGTAATTACGGGGAGGTGAATGGGCCAATAAAAATGGAAAATCTTGATTGTTTCCCTTTATTATAGAATCATAATGTTAGATATGGGTCATTCCACGTCAGATCGACCAGAGATTTTGGTCGACCATCACCGATTTCGCTGAAATTTGGTGAGGAGGTAGCGTTTAGTCCAAAAGCCGGGAAATCCAAAATATATTTTTTTCTGACCAAAAGTGGGTCCGTAGCGAGGTCACAGAATTTTGACATATTTTAGCTGGTCAGGCTGACCTCTATCGGACTTTCTTCAATAACTCCTTAGCTATTTGTCATAGAATGTTCATTTAGGACTCCTTTTAAAGGTCTCTTTTGACCCTATATTGTTTATTTATTTCANTGAACATTCTATGACAAATAGCTAAGGAGTTATTGAAGAAAGTCCGATAGAGGTCAGCCTGACCAGCTAAAATATGTCAAAATTCTGTGACCTCGCTACGGACCCACTTTTGGTCAGAAAAAAATATATTTTGGATTTCCCGGCTTTTGGACTAAACGCTACCTCCTCACCAAATTTCAGCGAAATCGGTGATGGTCGACCAAAATCTCTGGTCGATCTGACGTGGAATGACCCATATCTAACATTATGATTCTATAATAAAGGGAAACAATCAAGATTTTCCATTTTTATTGGCCCATTCACCTCCCCGTAATTACGGCTTCGATAGAGCGAAAAAAGGTCTAAAGTGCTTATCTCTCTGAAATCGTCCCCCTTAGCGATATGAGATACACCACAGTCGAAAGCAACTTAGAAATGTATCATGCAGCTATATTAAAAATAAAAATGAAATGCTTTTCTCCCCATGATCTGGAAGATATGCGCTTCATCTGATAAGTGGAAACTCGAGTCTCATGAGGGACTCCAGGAAATGAGACTGAAGCTAGCACGACTCCTATAATCGAGCGCTGCAAATGGAGAAAGGACGCAATGTATCCCACTCACCCGAGTTGTTTGGTCGGCCAAGTGGCATTCTTCAACGCCGACAAGATGTCCTGACCCTTCTCGACTGGCGAGCAATCTACCGTCGTCCTCCCATCGGCTTTTTCAAAGCACGTACAGGGGGATATATTGGGACTGGGGCATGCCGGCTTCCTTGCCCCGGACACCAGCGAGACAGAGAGGAAGAGGAACGGCCCGGCGATCATGGAATTTGGATTTGGAGAAACGCTGAACGAGGTTTGCCTCAAGCTTCAATTTTTCTTCCACCGACTTTTGAAGGCACTGTCCTTCGACGCGATGATTATGACCTTTCTTCAGGGCGGCAAATGATCCTTGGAAAATACCCGAAAATAATGAAATAAACGTTCATGTATTTTAATTTGCAAACATTATGAATTGGGTGCCTTGGAGCAATAGATTTTCTTGTATTTCAGGAACCGTTAAGAACTCATTTCAGATACTTCATTATTATGGTCCTCATGGGTGTTCGTTTGAGTGAATTAGGACGCACCCCCACTCATAGCCTCCTCCCTTCGATTTTGTTTCATTGAAGTGATTGACAAGTTTTAGCAATTAATTTCAGTAGTTCCCTTTGAAACTAAAACAGATTTCGCTAGAAATTGATATGTGGTCATGTATAAAGTTTCATTGGAGTTTCTCAATTCGGTTTCTCTAGTCGACGATGAGTGGCCTACACGATTTGTGAGCCCTGGAATGGGCTTCTAGATTCTAAATTTCTAGGGAATCCAAAGGAAATATTTGAGGAATTTTCGCGTGTGGAAATCCTCCTGCTACCTAACACAGGAAAGTTTCATGGACTACATTAACCTATGACATAAGAGCTCCTCGGTTCTAATTTATGGTTAAAAAAATCGCATTGAATAGAGCAAACGCTACCTCCTCACCAAATTTCAGCGAAATCGGTGATGGTCGACCTAGAAATCACGGGAAAATTGGTCGATCTGACATGGAATCACCCTTATACAACCCGGTGCTCTGATCCCTTAACCTGGCAGCCATTCTTAGCAATGCCATGCCTCCGCCCGTTCACGATTACCTAGTTCACATTGTCCAACATTTGCAGGAAACTCGGTTCATTGCAAATGCTGTAGCACGACTTTTGCCTTCCCATGAAGATGGGTGGAATTCAAGCAAATGGGGTTTATTATTACACTTCAATATGCAAGTGTCCTTGGGCAAATTGGTCAGGTTTGGTGACATGGCGACCCAGGGGATGATCATGTGTTTTCCAATCGCCCGGTTTTGCTACTGGTGCTGCAGGACAACGGGAATAACTAACGTTGCATCTAGGGTAGCCGGCTCTTGTTGCCAAAGAGCTCAGTTCATCTAAGAAAATGACTAATGCATGGGTTGCCTAGCCACCAGAAGTGAAACATTAAACTTTTTACTTGAGAGTACCTAAAGAATTATGTGCTTGAACAGGCTCTATTTGCTTCTGTTACGGTCCTCTACGTGGGAAGTCAAAAGTAGTGCATTTCTTATGCCCAATTTAATTACGAGGTATGCTTATGCACCATGCAAGTGTGCACGTGAAATACTGCATGAAACCATATTTTGGGACCATCATTGTATGAATTACATACGTTTAAATCTGGTGCGGAAGTAATGGGTGGAGAGCTGATTTCAGGGAAAGCCTATATTTTGACGTACATAACCAGGGAATATTTCTCCGCAAGGGACGTTTCTATCAGCATTTCTCGACGAAGTAACATTTGCATTTCAGTAGTCAGAAAATTTGCTGCAGCTTAATGGAGAAATTCGAAGGGAATTATTCATTCAACCCCAGGAATGAGATAAGAATCCATAAACTCTTCCCACTCCGCGAAAGGAATTTAATTCATTACATTTTCCTGTAATATCATAATCCTTATAGGATTTTTCGAAGAATCCTATTGGTCCAATAGGATTCTCATAAGATATTAAAAGATTGGTATACGAATCCAATTCTATTTTAGTGTTTCAAAAATGGTATAGGACCCTATAGGTTTTTCCGCAAGGACTGCCCCAAAAACTGTATTACCAGGTGTTGTAACAAAATATAGTTTGGTGCTGAAATAGCAAAAATAGAAAAGCAAAACAGTCAGAATCTTTATTAAAGTACTTTCTTCAAACACATTTTCTCTGCAAAATGGGCATTCACACGGCTTGGCATTGCATTGACGATTTTGTTTCATAGTTTGGTACAGGTTGCCCGTATCCAAGCGAGACTTTCCTCTAATTTCATTATATCGCTGGTAATTGAACGAGTCAATGCTGACAGGCACTCGATGAGATTCATATCTGGGCTTTGTAATATGCTGGGAAGAACTTGATCACCTTGATTCCTCTTCTAGACTGTGGTCACACGAGAGGTGTGGCAAGTAGTTCCATCCTCGTGAAGATATGCGCACTAGGGTTTGTTAGAGTAAACGAAGAAATATAACTGGATAACTTGATTTTTGGCATGATTTTTGTCATGAACATATTACCTGCCCAAGTATAAATTTAAAGTTCTATTTATCCGTAATAATATGTGAAATACAACATGTTTGGTTATATACATACATTTAGGGGATCGCTAACTTATTATGACGAGAGCTTTGTGCGTGTGTGGCATGCCTTACAGTCAAAATAAATATGTCCACAAATTGAGGCAACCACATTAAACCAGATAATTCCATTACAGCCAGAAGCATTTTCATCGCCTTCTCTCTTTTTGACAGGGAATTTCGCTTGACGAATAATAGGGCGATGTCGGAGCTCCCTGAAGGATGCTTCGGGGATCTTTCCTTTCGGAAGATATACATAAGAAACACCGATATCAAGAAAATTCACCCATCGGTGATCCTCCCTTCCAAAGACAGGCTTGAATGGCTACTAATTGAAAAGAGTTTATTAGAGGCGTTTCCCTTCGACATTCTTCGCAATTTTTCCCGTCTCTCTGAGCTTAGGCTTCCGGGAAACTCATTCACCTCGTTACCAGCCATACAGAGCAAGAGCCTGGTTTTGCTCTCCGTCAAACACAATAAAATCGCTAGTCCACAAGAAGACGGATGGGCAACGCCAAACTTGACGAAAATCAACCTCAGTGAGTAAAAGAACTATTGCCTGTTGCTGCACTGCAATGTAAAACCCTAGCTAAACCTTCATCTGGTTTCTATTTCGCATGAAAAGAGGTTCATGTTCCATCGAATTCTGTTACATGTCTTTCCAAGAGAAAAGTACGGCATCACCATTAATGACACCAGCTAACATCTAAAATGAAATGCTTTATTTTTCCAGGGTAACGTCACCGAACATAAACTATTCGAATCGTGGTTTTCAATTTGCTTCAGATTGTATATGAGTAAACAGAATATAATTGTTGGACCTCATGCACATTTTAATTGGGTGATCCAAAAAGGGTACACTTTTCAATTCATGTTTTAGGTGTGACGCTTTCAAGGTTACATATACGGAATAGAAGAAAGACTTGGCCTAAAAATATTTTTCAGAACTGAAATGTCTTTTGCAGTAACTAGGAAAAAGAAGATTGAATTTTGGTTACGAAAAATCCACGTTTCGCTCAGAAACTTGAGTCAACTTCTCTTGGCGGTCCGGCCCTCGTGAGAAGGGGAAGGCATACACTGACCAAAGCAGACGTCGCGCGGATGATTGAATGTGCCTTCGCCTGTATACGGTCCTTGAATTCAACGCCGATTTTGCGAAAAGAATGTTTAATTATTTTTAATGAGTCACTGTTTACGACATTTCATATTCGAAATCATTATTTTGTAGCAAAGTCTTTCTTCTTCAATTGCATGGAACAGGGAAGAAAATATCACGGGAAGCGTCACAACTAAAACATGCATTGAAAAGTGGGCTCATTTTGGGCAACAATGTATTATTTACGATGATGTCATCCTTACCTGGCAACAGATCATTTATATATTTTTTAAAGAAAACATCGAGAACATACTGCACGCAAAAAGTTCAAAGAAAAACAAGTTAAAATTATATTTTATTATGAAGCGTTTCATAGCTATGCTGCTTTACCCGTATATAACTTTCACATAACTTTCTAATTACACATTCTCCATATTGTTTTCCTTTGTAGTTGCATCGGTAACTATTGCAACAAGATTTCGTCCATATCAGCAGATGCACTACATAACTTATCATGATTACCACTGCTACATATTTGCTCTTTGTTCTTCGCCTTTCATAAAATTAGGATATTATTAAGTTTTTGAAGTAATTTACATACATATATACATTTTCTTGTTATGGGGTTATTCTTGTTATCCGCTTTTCTTGTTATCCGCTTTTCCAATGTTATGGGGTCGCGGTTCGAGCATCCCCAGGAGAGTCCTCCAATGATCTCGATCCTGGGCTACAGACTCAAGCTCCGCTGGTGGGATGCCGAGCCTCTTGTGACAAAACCGAGCGACGTAATCACTTCATCTTGCACGAGGTCTTCCGACAGGTCTTTTGCCGGTCATCTTGGCCTGGAAGACTCCTCTTGAGAGCCTTTAAGGGAGCAGACGTGTCCAAACCACCTGGCCTGAGACCTCTCGATCCGGAGAAGCATCTGCTCGATGTGGAGACTCTCGCAGATGGCAGAGTTCTGCATCCGATCACGGCGCGTTGCGCCAGCCACTCGACCCAAGAATCTCATTTCAGCAGCTCGTCTTCGCGATCTGGTGCTTTTGGTCATTACCCAAAGTTCATGACCATAGGCGAGGTTGGAGAGATAAACACTCTTAAAAACCGAGAGTTTTCCTCCCCGAGAAACTTCCGACCTGGTAACCACGGTTCGCCAAAGTTCCCGCAGAACTACAAAAGCCTTGGAGATGAGGTTGTCGATCTCATTTCCGTATCGCCCGTCACTCGAGAACCAGACCCCGAGATACTTGAACTTCTCCACCTGTTCCAGTGGGACCCCACTGACATGCAGGGTGCTCGTACCAGAAAACAATCCTCACTCCTCCCGCTCACTCGGACGCAGCTTCTGCAATCGCTGTAAAGGGACTGAACGGCCCGCAATAGCCGACCCTTGGTCCCATATTCCTGCAACACTCCCCACAGTTTTCCTCGGGGTACAGGGTCGTAAGCTTTTTCAAGGTTTACAAAGCACATGTCGACATCTTTGGCATACTCCCAATGTCTCTCGAGGATCTGGTGGAGAGTGAACAGCTGGTCCGTGGTGCTGCGCCTTTCACGAAAGCCGCACAGCTCCGCTTGGATGGCATCACCCTCAACTGCCTGAGCTCACTTTTCCAGCACCTCGGAATATACTTTACCAGGTATGCTGAGAAGAGTGATCCCACGATAGTTCGTGCACTCCCTCGAGCCTTAAAAAGAGGAACCACCACACCGGTTTGCAAATCCCTAGACGCTGTTCCCGATTCCCAAGCAGCCTGACACCCTATAAAGCCAGGAGCACCCATGTGTACCCATTGCTTTCAGAGTCTCCGCCCGAATTTCATCCACACCAGGAGACTTCCCATTCTTCAGGCTAGCAATTGCTTGCAGTACTTCATGGTGAGACTAGTCTCCGTGCTGAGAGGGTCCAGGTCGGGCAGGTCAGTGTCCAATATTGGTGGGTTTAAAAGCTCTTCGAAGTGTTCCTTCCACCTCCCAAATATATCCGCCTCGGCAGCCAACACCTTCCCGTTTCTGTCTTTGATGACCCGGAGCGTATGTTGCCTGCCTTGCCGTAACCTTAGGATGGTTTGCCAGAACACCTTGATGGCAGTGCGGTAGTCTGATTCCATTTGATCGCCGAATTCCTTCCAAGCCTCCCGTTTTGCTTTGGCCACAATACGAGCAGAAGTTCGCCGCGCCTCGGTATAGCACTCCTTAGAAGAATCAGACCTACTATACATATACGCCAGGTAAGGCTATCTTCTAGGAAATAACAGCCTCGCGCACCACTGGTGTACACCAGGAGGTACGCTTGGCGTTACCGTGAGCCACTCCGATGCACTCCCCCCCCCCCCACACACACACACACTCTTGCTGCCGCCGCCGAAACACCAGACTGAAATAAAGCCCATTCGGTCTCTACATCTGACGTCTGTGGAGACAGTTGGGAGTACTTTTCACCAATCTCCCTCGCAAATTCGTCACGAGTTCTCTCATCGTGAAGGACTTCCCACCTCACTCGTCTTTCAACGCTTGCGGGTCTCTGTCTTGTTCGGAGATTCGCTCGTATTTGAAGTTTGCTGACCACTAGATGATGATTGCTACTCAGTTCTGTCCCACGCCACACCCTGGTATCCATCACAAGTCCCCACAAGTCCGCCGAAACGATCACGAAATTGATCCGCGATTGCTGGCACTCAGTACCAGTCTGAATATCAGACCCCCTGTACCAGGTAAACTTGTGGATATCTTTGTGCTGGAAGAATTGTTGGTGATGGTCAGGCCATTGCCAGCACAGAAGTCCAGCAACTTTCTGCCCCTCCCTTTCATCATGGTTTCCCCAGATCGAGCGATCACACCACTCCATGTAGCATCGTCTCTCCCAACTCGTGCATTCAAATCCCCCATCAACAAAACGCGGTCGCCGTTCGGAATCCTTTCTAAGGTTCCATGCACCTCCTCTAAAACGCATCGTAATCTGACTCGCTGTTCGGCCCCGTAGACTTGAACGACGGCCAAGACTTCAACTCTGAGGCGGATCAGAGCGACACGCTCGCTGACTGGGTTCCATTCGATGAGGCTTCCTGCCAGTTGGGGACAAATGAGTATTCCCACTCCAGCCTGAGCAAACACGGTAGAGTCGACTCCGCTGCAATGAATGTTCCATCCGTGGTCAGGGGTAATGGAACCGGTGCCTTTATCCTTGGTTGAGGCCAGGCCAACTATATCTAGTCGTCTCCTCCTAGTCACCTCCACGAGTTCAGGCTCCTTACTGCAGAGTGTTAGCACGTTCCAAGTCCTGATGTTCAGAGTCCGTTGCCAAGGTCGTTTACCGTTTGATTCCGCTCCTGGTCTGCCCTTAGGGCATCTTGCCGAAAGAACGCGATAGCCGGTGGCAAGCCGACCAATAGGCCTGGATGTAGCATGACGGGGTGCGATGCACCCAAAGACATCGGATTGCCTGGCCCCAGTAGCCAACTTATCACTAGTCACCCTGGGTGCACAGTGAGTATCGCAGTCCTGATTAACTTGGGCCACGACTGAGCCAGTATGGAATACCCGAGCCGAACTCATCATGCTGAATTTGGTTCGTCTTGGCCACCCTCAACGGATGCCCTTATAACATGGTTGGACCAGAGACAGTAAGGCCTTCCGCATCACTGGGGTCCATCCTCGCGACGTGGACGCGCGAACCATTGAGGACTATGAAGTACTTTTCGAAATAAATTCTACAAAACCCTTTCCGTTTCATCGTCCTTAAGTGCAAAAGTCACGAAGAAAGTTAAAAAGAGTTAAAAACCGATTTTTAACGCAGTATTTACTTCAAAAATATTTAAAGAGGGACTTTGGCATTACTTTGACTAACATTAAAATATTTGTCACCGGTTACACATTGGGTTCATAGAGGAAAACAAAATATTGATAAAATATACCATTCAAATGTAACATCCTTTTACATCATGACCCATTTCGCCATGTTTCATATAGATGGAAATCGCTTGTCGAAGCTCCCATCAGTAATCATCAAGAATCTCAAGAAACTAAAGGAATTCGAGTGCGAAGACTGCGGTCTTGGACCAACTCTCTCAACAGGGCAGTTGGGATTCGCCAGTCCTGCGTTAATGAAGGTAGACCTCCAAAATAATGAAATCTCGAAAGTGGAGCCCGGAGCCATCACAGGTTTGAATACTATCGTGTTCATCCTTTCATCCCAGGGAATTATAACTCTCAGGAATTTAAGCATTTTAACTGCTTATTGGAAATCGGGTCTGTAATTCCATTACTTTGGAAATCTAATTTTCTAGAATTACTTTAGCTTCGGTAATTTGGGCAGGATTTCGTATGAATAAGGGAATTCAATTGTTCCACAAGTTTTCTAGACCAAAGTGAAAGCGTTGACGTAAATGTATGGATATTGCATTGATCAAGAAAAATATGCATGCCAGTACAATAGTTTTAAAGCATTCGAAAATCGAGTCCAATACTAATTTCGAGAGAAACAAAGCCCCAAGAAGGTCCATTTAGTCCAAAATGCACTTTGAATAATACTAAACTCCCATTTTCCAGTTCATGCTTCAATTCATATGTACACTATCTTATTGACATGTCTTTACATACCGTATACATTTTGAAGTAGTTCGGAAAATGTTCGGGAAATGAAAAAAGGGCGCCACAGTTCGGAGGTCACTGAGTACTAATAGCTGCCGCGTGGACATGTGAAGGATAAACGAAAATTGCAAATAATTATTACCTTCAACAACACATCTCATGTCCACACTAGGTCAAACGCCAGAAACAGAGGTGTATCTCGACGGAAACAAAATCACTACACTAGATGAGAAAACCTTTCGCCCCATGTTGACGAATTCTTCAGGACAAGTCAGGTCCCTGTCCATATCTAGTGAGTTCCATGAGTAAATATGCCAATGTCCTTTTTATTTTCACTTGTTATTGCATTTCACGCAATGCCCATGTTTCAGACAATCCCATCTGGTGTGATTGCGGCTTGGCATGGCTCACAGGTTCTGAGATCCTTCGTGAAAAACTCAAAGGCTCATGCCAGAATGGCGCTAATTTGAATGCACTTGACAAAGATTACTTCGAAAATCAAAGGCCTTGCACATGTTCCCGAAGTTCTGATGGCAAGGTGACAGTGGATTGCTCAAGAGCCGAGAATGCTTTCGAGATCTCATCGGCATTGTTCAAGACATCATGGCCCTCGCCTCAAATGTGGTAAACTGGAGTACTTGCAATTTGAATGCAAAGTGTTTGTTCTTAAACGTTCCTTGTCAACCAATCAGAGAAGTAAGATTATTCTTTAGATGAATCGAGAAAGGGAACGGAGGCAGAATCGGAAAAAAGAATCGTACCTTATACGTGGGACAATAGGATGCCTGAGATGAGTGAGACGTATCAGTTTTCATCCTGATGGGTTCTTGATTTCTCCTGTGGGAAGACAATATAATAGAAAGTGCTTTAACGGTACCGGTCTCACGTTTCTTTCTGGAATACTCTCTTGGTCATACCCATAAGACAGGTGTGTTTCAGATGGAATACTTGAAAATTGCATATAGGCAATTATGCTTCAATATTCGTAGAATCATTAATTTTTCATGCCACTTTGACATGCGAAGTGTATTTTAGAACCTGTTAAGTAAGAAGTCCTTTTTTCCTGAGAAAGTGGAATTACCGATGGTATAAAAATGATATAAAACAGGGTTTAATCGCAAATGTGACACTGGTCTTACACGCACAAGAAGGTACCCTTCTTGAAGAATCCTACATTACATTCCTTCAGACCCTCATATTTTTTCTTAGGAAAATTTTGGGCACTTCCCAACTCTATTTCATGGCAGGCAACCCCATAATATATTGTATCATCCCTTCTCTTCACTTTTTCACACGGTGTATGAGAAATCGTTCATGGAACGGAACTCTGAGGAATACATTCGTCATAATTCTCATTTCCAATGTAAACATTTGCGATATTCTCCCTCGAATTATAAAATCATTCATTGTACTTTCTTCCTTACCTCCAGGTAGTTCGGATAATGAATCTGCTCTTCATATCAGTCATGGTATATTGAATGTTATTTATATCAAATGAATTGAGACCTTACTGTCTTATGCGGTTGGAGCAATTCATAAGTGAATCATACAAAAATGCAGAAAAACGATGGGCTTTTTTCCAAATATTTTCTCCACAAAGTTTAAGACTTTGTGGAGTAACTAAGTACACGACGACGACATTGTAAGCTGAAGCCAGCAACAAACCTATGACTATCTCTAATTTGTATATAATTTTTCTGGCTAAATCTATTTTCACAAAAGAATCTGTGTTCACAAAAGATTATGCATTCAACGAAGCTTTAAATTGTTCTCAATTGTTTTTGTTCTGAGTAAAGGCCACAAGCAATAATGAAAGAGATGGTCAATGAAGAAAGCATCCACACCACATGATTAACTGTCGCTGATGCTCTATTCCCGATCTCCCATTTCATGTTCAACTTCAAATTTTTTTAGAGCGATTGCTCACTGCCTTGTTTTGGCAATATCAGCATTGACTCAATTGTTAAATCTCTTAGAAATAAGACACTCCACACTATATTACATTTTCGCAAAAATCGCTTGACGGAGGTGAATTCATAGAGGTTCACAGGCCAAAACCAATAACCTTGTATTTCCTTGTTTTTCTTGCAGGCAATTCCGAATGATGAATAACGAGAATGTGACAGAGCTAAATGGAAGTTTCTTTGGTGCTTTGTCCTTTGAGAGCATATTCGTGAATCATACTGCCGTAAAGACCGTTTCTCCTTCGGCGATCCTGCCTCTTCGAGACCAGATTGAAAAACTAGAAATTTCATTCAGTCAACTGGAAGAGTTCCCGTTCCACAGTCTCCTCAACTTCTCCCGCCTTTCGGACCTCCGCCTTGAGAGAAACTCCTTGACCTTGGTATCGGCCATCCAGAGCAAGAGTCTCGAAATTCTCTCTCTCGGGTTCAATAAAATAAGGAACTTAGAAGAAGGCTGGGCCACGCCTAACCTGAGGAAGATCAACCTCAGTGAGTAAAATAATTTTTGTGGATCCTCTCTTATCAATACTTCCTGCGATGAAATAGATTCTTTCCCTCTTCAGTCTTTTCACATAAAAACTGTCCTACCCAACCCACCCCGAATTGAGATGATATTTAGACATGATGAGTTTCCTTTAGAGAAATAATGTTTTATTCAGCCAAAAAGCCAAGAATAGTTCATTTTAGTTAATATATTCATACCGCCTAAACTAGAAGGCGATGATATATAATGGTTTTAGGTTTTTCCATATAGAAATGTACGTTATTGTGCTTCGTGACAGCAGTACAATCGCAAACTGGCACATGCCAAATCTAAGTGAAGTAAAAGCATTTCCAGACAGAAACATTGGACCTCTTACTTCTAATGCCGGCCAAAAAATGTTCCCCATCTCGTCTTTCAAAATGTGGGCTTCTGCTTTCCAAAAGCCTTTCTACGAGCAGTCGAACAGCATGATTATGCACGTATATGCCAAGTTTCAGCTCTCCGTGTATTTTCGTTTGCCTGAAACAAATATATATATCCTTGAAAATATTTACTGTCAAAATCGGTTTCCTCATGGCATGTACCTCCAAATTCAGATTTTTTCTGAACTCTGCATCCCAGTAAGTACTTGTGTACCAAGTTTCAGATTTCTAGCTTCTCTAGCCGATTAGCCCTATGAGGGTGAATCCGTGGTCTTCGAAGCATTTCGTTCAGGAAGTGTAACGTTAGGCCAATCGCAGTCCTATTCATTTGTTCATGAACCATTTCAGAAAGGACATGCAACACCTTACTGATGTGAGGCCTGTTTCGCGTTTCATGTACCAATTTTAGTGTGACGTGGAACGTTAGGCCTTTCATGAGTTCCTCGAACCATCTTGAATAGGTCTGAAGAGGGAGTGCCTCCAGGAAGCATGCAATCCATGGAGCGCGCCAACCTGTCCATTCAGACATGACAGGATGAAATATCTCCATATTCCACCAAATCGATCAATTACTGCTAACCAATGCTTCATTCTCAGCTCATCTCACGAAAAACCAAAATACAATATTTCAGTAGGTCTTGCTTCATATTTGAGTTTAAAACATTAGTATTCACACCATTTATAGAGTTATCATAAAGTCTCCATCCGATTCTTGATTAGTTGTAACTTTTTAAGGGTTAGTCATATTCAGCTCATACTTGGCAGAGGTTCTTGAGTCAAGGATTTTTCCAAGACGCAAGATGGTGCTGCTTGCCGATAGAGGGTGCTGATGTCGACAGCAGTGCCGCCTACGTACTTGCTATGTCATTTTTCAGGAATAAGAAAAGAAACCTCTTTGGTCCATGAGCTTCTCTGCCAAATATCAATTGAATTTGACTCCCCTTTGAAAAGTTATAGCCTATCAAATGGGATCGTAACTTCTCAAAATCGAACATTGTTTGGTAATAACTTTTTAAGGAATAGTCAGATGCAACAGATGTTTGACAGAGATGTTCGTGAGTCTGTGACTCATTCGTTTATTTGCTCGGCACATGGTTGTACTTGTTGACAGGTTGGGATGTGGAACCACAAGCACATGTAACAGAAAAAGGGAATAGGAATTGGCTTTAAAAAAAGGAATATGTCTAGCATTCTCAACACTCCCGGCAAAAAGATGGTGAACAAAATGTTGATGGATATTTCGCAGGACTCATTGGCCAAAGAGGTTTTTTCTCATACCTGAAAAAATACGAAATACGTAGGTGGCACTGTGGTCGAAAGTCAGCGCTATCTTATTAAATGAGAAAAAAACCTCCTTGACTCATAAATCTCTCTGCCAAATATCAACTGAATCTGACTGTCCCTTGAAAAGTTATAGCCAATCAAAATACGGTGGTGACTTTATGATAACCCCGTACATTCATGCTATTCAGTTTTTGTGTTAAGGTTTACAACAATAAGCGCAGGGCTCTGCTAGTGAGATTATAATCTGCCATCTGCCAAGTGTGGCCAACATAACAGTCCTAATACTAGCATCGCAAGTTTACAGAACGGTGAATTTGCAATTCCGAACCTAACCAAGACCTCTGTAAATCTCTAATACTAGTGAGTTTGCTCGCCTTTCGGCAAACTCCTAACCCTGCTGCGTTCTGCGTCCGTAGTAAGTAATAATGTAGGACTAGTAACTAAGGCTAATGATGTATCATAGCCACGCTTGTGTTATTCATGCTACATGTTATTACACAATCGATTTCGGAAAGTATCCATTGCGACGCCACGTTACACACAGTTACACGACGTTATTGAAAAAACGCGACCTCACCGTCGCTATCGATCTTCCATGTCTCAAAGAATACGAGCAAAATATTGACCTTTTCATGTTTCGTGCAGCTGAAAATCCCCTTGAGAAGATCCCTGCAGCCTTGGTTAAAAGCATGACGAATCTAAAGGAATTCCACTGCGTCGCCTGCAAACTGGGACCCACTCTTCGAAGCGGGATGTGGGCGTTCGACAGCAAAGGGTTATTGACGGTCGACTTGCAAGGGAACGAAATTTCAAAAATTGAACGACTCGCCATCACAGGTAAGAAATCTCGTCTTGTCGGCCCCCTTCGACCCGTGTCGAACCACTTCGACTCTGAAATTCTCAGATTTCATTTCCTTTCTTCAGGAAATGTCTAGTTTTTGAGAAGGTGAATTGGTAAAGACCGAATAATATTCATTTAGTTGTAATTAAAAGAGATCCACCCATTAAGGGCTTTTTTCAAAGCAAGTCTAAGTAAACAATAATCGTGGACTCTTTTCAATCCCTGAAGATGCTATGCAATCCTCGACTATGGCTGAGGTTTTACCCTGATATCAATTTATCAAGTCGAAGATCAGATCACATCGAGGAGGACGGAATTTCAAGACAGCTCGAATGATTTAACTACCTTGACGTCATAAATTACAAGTTTTTATGCCAGTTCTCACCTTAGTATTCCACGTGGTATCGAATCTGATCCTACGATGTACGACAGTAGTACTTTTCTATGATGTATTGAGTACTATGATGAGAACTGGCATTAAAAGCTGTATTTATGACGTCAAGGTAGAGAAATTATTCGAGCTGTCTTGAAATTCCGTCCTCCTCGTGCGTGGAAAGGTCCATTTCATGACTCCAGTTTGAGCGACTTTCGATATTTATTCATACAACTTAGGTAACTTTCAAACACCAAACACCAAACACCAACACCAAACACCAACACCAACACCAAACACCATTTCCTGGAAGTTTATGGCAGACAATATTGCATGTTTTCTCCAGGTCTCATGCCGGAAACGGAACTTATTCTGGATGGAAACCAGATCACCGAATTGCCCAAGGAAGTCTTTCGCCCCCTTCTCATGAACGAATCGCATGCAAAAGGGTTCATCTCTCTACAAGGTGGGCTGCGCCTTTCGACGCCAAGCCGTTTAACCTGCTCGTCTTCCACTCGGCCCTCTTTCCCTCCTTCCAGGGAATCCCATCGAGTGCAACTGCCGCTTGGTCTGGTTCATCAATGACCCGCACCTTCTGGGGAGTGTTCGCGGAACTTGTGAAGACGGAACGGAGTTCGCAAACCTGACACTGCAGTGTCGACTGTGTGATCATCAGTGCGTGAAACGCGAGGAAGCAGGTCAATGCATCCCAGGATCAAACAGCTCCTCGAACGTGGACGACTGCCAGCCTGAAGAAATATGTTGTCAGCTAAACCCTTCACTGAGAAGTAGTTATCTTTTTGTTTTCAGTATGGACGAAAGAAATTTACATAATTTTGACTCGAAAATCCAATTGTCTGCTTCATTCGAGCTGATTCTTCAAATCTGATAATGAGCATTTTCCATTCCTATTCGGGGAGGACATAACATTGAATCAGCATGTTGATACAACGGGCAGATGTTTTTTTTAATGGTGTTTATCAAAACAGCATGTGTAGCTCATTTTTCAAATGACTGTTGAATGTTCTGATATGACAGGATAATCCTTTCTGCACTTCGTACGAATCCTCTAAAGTAAATTAGACTCAAATTGTTTCACCATTTCATCAGTTCAAGGTGAAATAATGTTCATGGTCATTTATGTTATACTGGCGTAAATGGCGTGCATCACACAAACTCACAGGCCACGCGCATTTGGCGTTCGAAAAGACAAAGAGGCATAGCGATAGCCTAACAATTGTACACTGACGCATTCGATGTTTCCTACGTTCAAAGCAAGTGCGTCAGCCATCGCGCGAAGGCCACATAACTTTGCTTACCGGAGTCATAGACTCCTATGATTCCTGATATATGATACACCTTGTATATAGCCAATCGTGACATTGTAGATAAGTTGCAAAACGCAATAAATATTTACATATTGGTGCAGCTATTTCAAGAAGCTAAAGATCTCCATTCTTAGTTTGCCTATGACGTCACGTAGCTTGAGGTAACTTCAGTAAGCAATAAAAATGCCTATGACCCCAAGAGTTTTACCAGATTGTTCAAAACGGATATTGCAAATGAATTAATCATTATCCTAGATAATGGCCTTGTTGCAAGATCACATTTGCATGGCTTTCATGTTACCTCTCACTGCTACATACAATACCTTCCCCCCAATTTCGAATTGTATATAATCAGTTGACTTTCTATTTAGAATTTAAAAAGACACCAGTAAATATTTATCTCTCACCTAACTAAAGGATCAGGAGAAGGTGTCACTGGAACAGCTAACGTTGCGAGCATTTCCGCTGGTGTCATCTCAATCGTGGTTTTTATCCTCGGCTCCGTGAGCTACTATCGCTTCAGATATGTGCGAATGAGTCTTCCTCATAGCTTAGACCATTGTCACCATTCCTCAAGAATTTCGTATTGTCTACATGCGCTTGTTTTCATGAACCTCGTAGGCCCGGAACGTCGCCTTATCGCAGGAAGAAATTGAGAGATTTCTCCGAGGACAACCAGAGATTTTAAACCCCTCCCTGGGGCTCAGCGAACAAGCAGATCTCCTGCCACTTGAGCGCTGGGACTTCCCACCGGAGAAGCTAAGAATAGGTAAGACTCCAGACATTTAATATGAGAGCATTACCAAACCGGATGCTGATATCAAAGTGGATTCCATAGGAGAGCGGCTTGGCAATGGTGCATTCAAGGCAGTGGCTGCGGGGATACGTCCTCAGGAGATCGAAACCACGGTGACCGTGAAAAAAAGGAATCCCCGCTCCAGTCTGAAACTTCAACAGGCGTTGACGGAATTGAAGTTCATCAGCCACATCGGTGTGCACTTGAATATTGTGAATTTCCTCGGCGCCTGCACCAAAGATTTAGCCCGGGGTGAGTTCGCCCATCATATTGTAAAAGAAAATGAAAATCAAAGGAATGCCAGTTTGGTACAGCTTTTCTAAGATATGCTCATTGACATCCTCATCCATATGAAGACGTCCTCTCATTTTCAAGGGCCTTCTTTTCCGGAAAGGAATGGCACCACACATATTATCTTTTTGCTGCAGTCCTTCGCACTTTCGTTGTTGATTATGAAGTGTACAGTATTTGAAATGTTTCCTCTATCGCTATTTAAATTATTTAAATCTGTTTTTGGCGCCATATTATAAGAAAGTTTGAGAAAATCATCTCCTTCTGCTTATTTGCTTATTTGCTCAGGAATGCATTCTTTTTAAGTTTTGAAAACTTCATGAAAATTTATTTCCTAGATGAAAATATATGTTCCACTTACTTCCATGATCATACAGGGTGACCAGAAAGTTCCCGGACACTAAAAAGCAAATATTTTGTTCAAAGCAAGAATAACAATAACTTTGACCGGAGAATATGACAAGATAGACAATTTGTAACTAATATATTCAAACATTTTCAAAGTGTCCACCCTTTGCTTTGTTGCACTGCGTCAATCGTTTTGGGAATTGATCAACGACCGCACGCAGCGTTGCGACGGTGATACCGTCCCACGCTGCGATAAGGGCGGCTCGCAGAGACTCCAAATTTTTGTGGGGCTTCGCACAGACCTTGGCCTCCAAGATACTCCAAATGGAGTAGTCCAGGGCGTTGAGGTAATGCGAGTTTGGCAATCCATGCATGATATGAAATCAGGAAAATTTTCTCCACACCATTGCTGCGTGAGTTTTGCCTTGTGGGCGGGCGTCGAGTCTCGTTGGAACGTCCAGGATCGGTCCACAAAGTGCTCCTGCGACCATGGCAACACGACATCTTTGAGAATGGCGCGACAGTAGACCTCTTTATTGATTTTGACGCCTTGATCGATGAAGATCAAGGGGTTTTGCCTGTTTCTGTGATACCCTCCCAAATCATCAGTGATTGATGTTTTTGTGTCCGGCTGATCATACGCGTTTCTCCAGGAGATTGTTTCGCCCAAATCCTGTCATATTGGTGATTGTGTGCTTGCTCGATGAACAGTTTCTCGTCGGAGAACAGAATCGATATGTGTCCCAGACGGGCGAACTTCTGCTTCATCTTACGACATCTTTCAAGTCTTGTGGCCTTCTTTTTATCGGTCAGGAGATGCGCCTTCTGGAGCTTATAGAGATGCATCCTGAGTGCCTCTTTTGCAACTTTCCGAACGGATTCGCGACCGACGTCTATCTCCTTCGCGATTTTTCTCATCGACACTCTGGGATTTCACTCGACTTTTGACGATCTTGCGGACAGGAGCAGTGGCGGCGGTGAGTGGGCGACCACTCCGAAGACGGTCGAGAGTGTCACTTCGCGCCTTGAAGCGTTTTATGACATCGTAGACGGTTGATCGAGGAAGTTTCAAGAGTTTGACGATGTCAATTATTTAAATCCAACTTAAATCCATGGCCTTAAAAAATTTTTGGAGGTGATACCCAAAAACTGACTTTTACTTGCAGCAGGGAAAGGAATAATGATTTTTTAATTAACCCTGCAGACAAATTAACCTTCCCAGCGAAAGTAACTGCCCTTTGAAAAGGTGTCTGGGAACTTTCTGGTCATTCTGTATACTATGACAACAAAAAGCAATAGCTAGATTTAGAAAAGGAAACCTGCAGGTGCAAAAAAGACAATCTGTTAGGATGTCACTTTAAAATCATTCTTAGTTTTCTTTGCTCTCAGAAAGTATATTTAGAGAGTAACTGAAACTCATTTTCAGTTTTAGAAAAGTAAACTACGATAATCAAATTATTCATAGTGCTGATATATATATATATATATATA